ATTTTTTTAAGAAGTGGAGAATCGAATACCGATTTTGGAAATGAAGTTAATCAATATAAAAAACAAGTTTTGTTTGTATTTTATTTAAATAAACTTTGACAAAACTTCTAATTGGTTTAACTATTTAATTTCAAGAATACAAAAATAATCCATTTTATCCTCAAGTAAAACTGCTATATTTTTTCTGCTAAGTTACCTACTAAGCAAAATACTAATCCAGAATTTGAAATTTCCAAAATTCAGAATCGAAATTTATCAAAATACTGGTAGTGATCAGCCGGGCAAGAATAATTTGCTATAGAAATGGTCGGCTAGAATTGCTTAATGCCAACCAGATCTGATGAATTCTTGAAATTGTAACAAATAGGATCGCCTCGTAAAAATGCATCGTACATGTCTGTACAACTACGCGTTAGTCGAGAATTGTCTCGTAAAAATATGGTCTTAACATTAAAACATAGAACGTGCGAATCTCTAAATGAAAATAATCTGAAAAAATGAATTATTTTATATTGTTATTGCAATAATACATAATAAGCCATCTATCAAGTAGGATTTCTTTTTTTAATATCATCTAGAATGCAAAATGCCTCACTCTATTAAATAAGGGGACAAGTATCTAACTGATCCATTTCCTTTTCAAAAATGCTATATGTCTATGTATGTTTTTTATAATATAGAGTTTCCTCCTCTTCCACAATAATGTTTGCTTTTTCACTAACTATTGTACAATCATCCATAGGAATATATAAATATTTGTACATATGAATCGAATCGTTAATCCACAATTTGTTTACCTTTTTGAGAATCGATACCTAAATGTTAGCATAGAACATTAGAAACTATTCATCTGAATAATATTGAAATGAAATCGGACAATGAACACAAACCTCTATTCCATAAGACAGGGCAATACCAGCTAAAGTATCAGAGGCTTTGATCATATGCACAATAACCTTTTTCTTTTCTGGCTCTTTTCGATCATTTTCTTCGCGCATTACTTCAGTTATACTAAGGTCCAATGGGCTAGAACGTTTCTTTAAAACTTTCTCTTGAGTTTGAAAAGAAAGAATCGGATCACTATCATTTCGCTTTGTAATATATAAATCGTTGCTATTAAATTTGTTAAAGAATGTAGGTGATATAGGTGACGAAGTAATCTGATGATTAAGGGGATGTGTAGTTGCAGGAACAAGAGGTGGATTTGATATTTTTTCTAACGAGCCTATGTTGAGAGACAAAGAAGGTTTTTGAGAACTCTTTTCGTCAGTACTACATATTAAGCTGTCAGGAAATTTCTCAACTTTTAGCAAGAACCAATCTGGAGTAAAAGCAAAAGAGTCTGTCAAATCCTGTACGGAGTTCTGCATTTCACTATGCTATATTATACAGATCTAGAATTAAATCGTAGTAAAGAATGACTTTAATGATAGTGCTGGCTTACTGTGCGGCTAGTAAAATCGCAATTAGTGCTTAACTTTATGTCGTTTTGTCACGCGATGAAATCAATTTTCCTTGTGTTACAATTATTTAGTAGTCTGTACAATACTGTATGTTTTATGTTTTATGTACGTACAGTACGTATGTACGTACCATATCAGATATCAAAAAAATGGGTTTTTGCAAAATTCGGATAAACCTCGGCATGGGCTACAAGGCTCCATATAATAAATCCTTGTTACGTATAGCGTTTATTATACATACACAGTATACAGTAGTTTATTAAAAATGAATTTTTAAAAAAAGAAGCAATTAACCCTCTCTAAACGCGCCTCCCTTACCTCTCTTAAAAAAAAAAGCAAAACGTTAGAGGTATATAGTGCTCGGTGCTAAATTATGCTGTGTGTTTTAGAAAAGAAATTATATACGTCATCGTGCAAACTCTTATGATCATAGATTTTTTTCTTGTTATTTTTTGTACGTTATTATATAAGCGCAACAATCCCGAATTATGACTTGAAAATCATGATAATAATTGCACGATAACATCGATATTGGATCATGCGATGATAAATAACAAAATTTGTTCTGTCAGAACAAATGAAACAAATTTCATGATACGTATTAATCGTTGCATGACCAATATCTTATACATAACATGGACTGCATTTTTTGAACATCAGTTTGCGAGTAGTTTGCGCCACAGTCTATCACGTGATAAGAAAATTTTAGTGGCGACCCGAGATGAGATCTTAAAAATTTGGACAAATTAGAAAAACTAATTTTTCTTCCTCTCTCAAATTTGCATTGACAATGACCGACGGATTGTAAGTTTAATGTTTGGACGATTATTTACTATCCACTACGTGCGTCTTGTGCTCGCGGTATAAAACTCATAACCTTTTATCATAGAACTGTCGCTACAGCTGAGCAGATCCGTGTTCCTGAGACTCTCTTAAAAAAGAGGAAGAACCAGGAGAAGATCGCTGCCGAAAAGGCGGCTGCTCTTGTAAAAAAGCGCGAGGTATAATATGTGATATTACCGATATTTTGAATTTTAAGTATTTAAAAAAAGGAAAAAAGATTGTTTTATATGATGATAAAAGGGAATTTTATCCCTCAAAAAATCTAGCTAAGGCAATGTTGATTTACACAAATACCATCTTTCGGGGCTGATAAACATCAATTTTCAAGGTCATTGTTAGCATTTCAGTGATAAAGGAATCATATATTTAAATATAATTTTCTTTTTTTTCAAATGCCGACATATTAGGAGGCCAAAAAGTCCCGCCGTATTATCTTTAAACGTGCTGAAATGTACGTTAAGGAATATCGTGCAGCCGAACGTCAAGAAATCCGCTTGCGTCGTCAAGCTAAAGCATGTGGCAATTATTATGTTCCTGCTCAGCCAAAGTTGGCCTTTGTTATTCGTATCAAGGGGTAAAAGTACTTTTATTACTAAAACGTTAAAAAATTGAATATTAATACATTATCAAGTAAATTACTCATATCAATAATTTATAAAATTAGTATCAACCATATTCCACCTAAACCCCGTAAGATTCTTCAACTTTTGCGTCTAATCCAGATTAATAACGGAGTATTTGTTCGATTGACTAAGGCAACAAAACAGATGCTCCAATTAGTTACACCATATGTTGCATATGGTGAACCCAATTTAAAGTTCGTATTTGCTGTGATACAATTAAATTATTATATTACGAATTTATCTAAAGAACAAGCTCTTTGACACTGATATACTAACTGAAAGGTCTGTCCGCGAACTTATTTACAAACGTGGTTATGCGAAAGTAAATAAGCAACGAGTTCCAATAACCGACAATGCTATCATTGAACAAGAATTGGGAAAGTTTGGTATTATTTGCATCGAAGACTTGGTTCATGAGATCTACACGGTTGGACCAAATGTAAGTCAGTTTCTTGTAAAGTTAATAAGTTAATGTTATTATTTAGTATTTATAAGTATTTAATTCATTTTAATCATATTATATTTTTGTTCGATAATGTAAAAATTTTTTTTAAAGTTTAAACAAGCAAACAATTTCCTTTGGCCTTTCAAGCTATCCAATCCCAATGGTGGCTGGGCTACCAGGAAATTCAGACACTACGTTGAGGGTGGTGATTTTGGTGACCGCGAAGACCGCATTAATAACTTAATTCACAGGATGAACTAAATTACGAAAGGGTTGAAGTATTAGATATTTGTGTCAAAATCACTCGACTAAATCCTTATGGTTGATTGTTAATTTTATGTGCCATAAATTGTAATTTTCAAATTAAAAAAAGTGAATTGTAATAAATTTTATACACGCATAATAATTGCTGCCCTCAATGACGTCCAAATTTGTCCGTATATAATTAATAGATTGGATTTAGGCCTAGAAACTAACTACCGTTGTTAGTGTTGGGTACTGTATTAAGTCCAGTTTCGAAAACTGCACTGTTCCCATTGGAACTAAGTCTACAATCTACCATGACATGATCGAAGTAACAAATTTCACAGGTTGCGTACATCAGTTTCGTGTTATTCGTATCACATACATCAAAAATTTTTTTGACTAATAAAATCGTAGCATTTAGTCATTTTGGAAATTGGAAATTCGACATTAATAGAAAATTTGATAAACGTGGTGTTACACGAAACTGATGTACGCAAATCATTTTCCAGGTTTTATTGCGTACATTTGGAAAGCCCGAACTCGATAATCGATTCGGATGGATCCGGGTAAAACTATGTGGTTTGATTGGTTAGCTAGTTATATCGGGTAGTCGCGTGATGTACGAGCCTTCATTTTTTTTGATTTCGGCTCTCTCTACTCCCCATTATTAAAATATATTCGCGTTCAAATATTTTTATCACAAAAAAAAAAATTAGATCCAATACATTGTTATATATAATAAATTAAATTTAAAAATATAAAAATCATCTTTCGGTAGAATGGGATATCTTATCTTGGTATTCCATAATTTTCCGGTGACTTGCTGCGAGCATGCCTAATTTTTTACCCATTTGTACAATGAATCAATGTACTGTTTGCCCAATCATTTTAATTTAAAATCGATGTGATATTTATATAAATTGCGCAAAAAGATCAAAAATTATGTAAATTCGTGACCAATGGAAAAAGTTCTGGAAAAAAAAACCATTGAATTATATAGCGGAAAATATTATGTTACATGCGCCTTTGGTGGTGTTTTAGCGTGTGGTTTAACACATACCTTCGTCACGCCACTTGACCTTGTAAAATGCCGTAGACAGGTAAGAAAAGAATATTAAACCGTTAAATATGCTGGCGTAAAATTTTGTTAAATCTTAACAATTTGCGCGGATGACTTCGTATAGAGCTGTGGCCTGTTTTAAGCATCTTGACCTTTTACATTGCAATCAAAACCTTGGAGATTGTATATAACGCGTTCTTATTGCTTATTTTTACAATATCATTTATCACCTTAAGGTCGATCCTAAACTTTATAAGGGTAATTTTGATGGATGGAAAAAAATTTATCGCGCTGAGGGTTTCAGAGGATTATATACAGGATGGGTTCCAACTTTTATCGGATACTCCTTCCAGGGAGCTGCAAAATATGGTTTTTATGAAGTTTTCAAGAAAAAATACTCCGATTTGGCCGGAGAAGAAAATGCTCACAAATATAGAACCACACTCTATTTGGCTGCTAGTGCGAGGTATGATGGCAATTCGACATCATTAACTTTTTTTTTTATTTTATTATTAATTATTGATATTCACAATTTTATAGCGCTGAATTTTTTGCAGATATTGCTTTATGTCCATGGGAGGCATTAAAAGTAAGGATGCAAACAAGTACTGTGCCATTTGCTAGCTCGGCGACTGAAGGTTTCCAAAAAATTCTTAGATCAGAAGGTGTAAATGGGTATATGGGATTTCAATATATTGTAACATTTCGTAAAATACTAGCATAGAAGGATATTAATATTATATTTGATCCTATTTAAAGTTTCTACAAAGGTCTTACTCCTCTTTGGGCTAGACAAATTCCCTACACTATGATGAAATTTGCAAGTTTTGAAAGGACCGTTGGTCTGTAACTTATATATATGCGCCTAATCGATCATAATTTTTGTATATTTTCGTACATTAATCAGAATTTGGTATCATTGATAATTTTTAGAATACATTTATAAATCTCTCGGAAAACCTAAAGAGCAATACAATAAACTTGAACAACTTGGAGTATCATTTCTTGGTGGATACATCGCTGGCGTTTTTTGTGCAATAGTCAGTCATCCTGCGGATACTTTGGTCTCTAAGGTAGTATTTTTTACTTAATTCTTATTTTTAACCTGAAAATCAATTATTCGAATAAAAATGTTTATTCTAATTTATGTTATTACAAAACCCAGCTTAATAATGTAAAGAAAGCCGAAGGAGAATCAACCCTTGCTTTATCTATCAAAATCAGTAAAGAACTTGGATTCACTGGAATCTGGCGAGGCCTTGGTACTCGTGTTATCATGATTGGTACTTTGACTGCTTTACAATGGTTAATTTATGACTATGTAAAAGTGTATGCTGGATTACCAACTACTGGCTCGAGCGGAGATAAAAAATAAAAGTCCAAATCACATAGTCTAGCCCGGACTTATGACTTTAATTTAGAGTTCGAAAATGAGATTTTATTCAAGATGACATCAACCTTATGGATTGGTGTTGTCATTATTACTAGTTTTATAAAATTATATTTAATTGTGATTAGTCAACATATAGATAAGTAATAAATGTCTATTAGAGTCATTCGGATAGATTTTATAATAAATGTTATACACTAAATAAAAAAATATGTAATCTTAAAATATCCGTTTAGGAATTTGTCTGATATCGAAATTTTAAATCGATTATCGTTATCTGTTAATAGAATCAACGTACAGTATGTCTAGTATAGATTTTTTGATCAAGAAAAAATTATCTATCGTTATTTACCGTTATATAGTTTTTATAATAAAAGAATAGTTGGAATTTTTTTTTCGTTACTTTTCGCTTAATAAATTTTAAAATTTTACGATCTTTATTGTAATATAACAAAAAAATTTTTATTTTACAGCTGTTTTCATTATTCCTGAGACACCTGATAAAAAATTAGTCGAATGATTTTTTCGGCCGATCCGGTTAAGAATTTTTCAAATCAATAAAAATTGATGTAATATACGTAATTTAAAATCAGGTGGATAATATAAATATAAAATTATGCACATCTCTTGTTGAATTCAAAAAATATGATACTTTCAACTACATTCGCTAGCA